AATTAATTGGTAATTAATCGTTGAAAAGGTTTCGTATATTATCGTCCAATCTACCCACAATTTTATCATAGTCCCCTGAGTGTACTATCTAAAAGGCATATATCAGTCAATATGTTTTAACAAAGAAATTTAACCAGAGCATCTATAAGCTGCTATTGGCGAGTAATTATAAATATTTACAACGAGTAGTGCGTTTTCACGAGAAGTCACATCGTCTTCGAGCGCGTTAGCGAAAGCAGCCCGCGACTTCACGGTCTGCATATATGGCCGAGAGTAGAACTTTTACTCACGGCTAGACCCGACAACAATTGTATTTGCGTATGCGCGTGCAAACGCGTTTAGAAAGCACTTTTTCTCGCCGCGTCGGTGGAACGCGATAACACGAACCTGTCACTCAATCGCTATGTAATGGTTTCATTAGCTGTGCACCTGATTCGCCTTGCTCTCAGACACCGAAGTCAGAGCACCGGGCCGGATTTCCTGTTACACGCAAATCGTCCTTTACGATCGTAGCTATAATTCGGAAGATTGCTATAATTCGTCGTGATTCGAGCTTCACAGCAGGCTAGGAACTTGACACGTTTGTCATTTATTACCTATTTCGCTCGTCGCTCTACGAGTCTGACAAGCAGATGCACAGTTAGCTCTGTGCCTGGGACGAAAACTAGAGCTCCGAGTGAACTTGCAACCGAAGCTTCAGACCAAAGCTGTAATTTGGAATAGGATACCGGGATACTCGTCCTGTGTAATTTTTCACGCGTTATAAAAGAGTACGAACCGAGTGGCAGCGAAGATTCGGTGGTAAGGACATGTCTGTGGTCTTCGGCTCAAGTAGGACACTGGGTAACCTTGTATTATCAACCGGTTTTGTTGGATAACTGGAGTAATCCTTACTGATACAAAAAAGGGAATAAATTGACTCAGGGGTACACTTTTTCGCAGTCTGAAGGACTAAAACTGAGTTCACAGTACCTAACCTAATGTATAATGGTAATTAAAAAGTGATTATATTATACTCATGGACACTCGAAAGGCTTGGGAACGAATTAATTGCGAAAGGTTTTATAGTGTTCTTAGAAAGTCTCTATATGTATTGAAATATCGAATTAATTTCGAAACTTAGTTCATATTAATCCTCTGTGACTCACTGACACATGGTCAGGTAGGTCTATAGTCTTTGTACCTTCGCTACCTGCAAATTCGTCTGAATTAATTCGCAAGCAACCTGCAATCTTTCTACTTGTTTAATACGCGTATATTACGTATAAAATACGTAATAAGACACACTGAAACCAAAAAACAGCAATTTGTGTTACATAATAAAAATTTCCAGGGTCTAAACTCTTAACCATAATCGATTTATGATTGGGGAAATAAAATGATGAAATATTAAAATAAAAATTTATATGACTCTATTTTTGTATCATGAAGATGATAATAGTTGTTTCTTAGATTCGGGAAATTTGTATACTGCTTTTTCTTTTTCTTTTTCGTGATTTAAGTATGGAGGGAAGATTAATTGGTCTGTTTGACAGGATAGAAACTAGACGGGGAAAATTTGGACACTGGATGTGTTTACAAAGAGACCCGGGATTAGCATGCAAGGGACGTGAAGTTGACAAAACATTTCTAAGACGTGGCATTTTTTCTCGAAGAGAAATCCTTAAACGAGGCAAGAGGAGGCGCGTACCAGCGTCTTCCGGTTCTTAAGAGTAGAGCGTGGATTCGCCGGCTCTAATGCGTCAAAAGAATGCGACTTTTCGTTTCGCTCTACTTTCTTCGGGTTAATAAACAGAGACATAAATTTCAAAGTAGGAGTCGAATACCCCGTTCGAAGAAATCTCGCGATCAGTTGGATCTGTGAGAACCGAGTCTCTGAATTATCTTAACGAGAAATTCCTCGTCCTGTGATCCGTTAATTTCCAATGTTTAAAATAAATAAAATAAATTGTTAATTCGGTTTCAAATTTTCGCAGCTTCTTGGAATCGTGTTTAATAAAAGTCTGGTAAAAAGTCCAGTGTACTGCGGGATCGTAGATGTTTCCAGGAAGCTCGAGTGCGCAAAATGGAGAAGGATATTCTTAAGATATCGCGCCAAGTGGTGTGCATTAAATTCGCAGAGATCTTCCTGATACGCCACGATTTAAATAAATTTGTAATTCAACAACTCTGATATATTTTTTTAAAATCTCTAAAAATTTCCTTGGCTCCTTGCAATGTTACGATAAAGATCTAATGGACATTCCGGGGTATACTTCTTTCACGTTTCTAGATATTTCCAGGAAGTCTCTTGAAAGTTCAGAACGAAGAAAAATATCAGAACAGATACTCTGACATATGAAACGAAGAAAATAATTCTGAAAACGGTATAATTGGAATAATAGCTTCGAATATAGTCTCTTTAAAAGTGATTCTAGCGCGATGGTCAAATAACCGGTGAATAGATAGATGAAAGAGGAAGAGGTTCAAAGGAAATAGGATGGTGGAAGATATTGAAAAATTGATAATAAAATGGAGTGGAGTAATTAATAAATTTTAAAAACACTGTAACTCGAAGGACAGCATCGAAGATAGTCTCTAACACTAATCCTAGCACGATGGTCAAATAACCGGTGGATAGAGAGATGAAAGAGGAAGAGCTTCAGAGGAAATAGAATGGAAGAAGATATTGAAAAATTGATAATAAGATCCAGTGGGATAATTAATAAATTAAAAAATTAAAAAATAGTCGTGTAAAGTCTAAAAGAATTTTCAAAACAATAGAAATTTTGAAAACGCTATACCTCGAAGAACAGTATCGAAAGTAGTCTCTTTAACACTAATCCTAGCACGACGGTCAAATAACCGGTAGACAGAGAAATGAAAGAGGAAGAGATTCAAAGGAAATGAAATAAAAGAAGATATTGAAAAATTGCTAATGAAAATCGAGTGGGGTAATTAATAAATTAAAAAATTAAAAAATATGAAGTCTAAAAACATCTTAAAGTCAATAGAAATTTTAAAAACGTTATAACTCGTAGGACAGCATCGAAAATAGTCTCTCTAACGCTAATCCTAGCAGGATGGTCAAATAACCGGTGGACAGGGAAATGAAAGAGGAAGAACTTCAGAGGAAATAGGATGGAAGAAGATATTGAAAAATTAGTAAGGAATAGTCGTGTAAAGTCTAAAAGAATCTTCGAAACAATAGAAATGCATTCTTCGTTAATTTCCCAACCTGAGAGCAGTCTTAACTACGTAAACCTGGTAATCGAGAAGAAATCGCGCTCGAAAACGATCGAACCGCCGAGCCTAATTAGTTCCGCAGTTAATGAAATCCTGCGAGTGACCGAGACTCTCTAATTGCGACGATGGTCGCGTTTACAGTTAGAAAGACGTACTCAAGGTGGCCGGAGTGCATCGGTTCCGTCGAGCGCCTTAGCTTCCGATCACGTGGCCAGCACAGCCACGCGGAAAGTGTCTCTGACGTAAGCTTGCGAAACGGATCTGGTAACGAGCGTTCCTTTCGACTTTGGCCAAATTCCAGGACGGACTTTCAGCCGTGTGTCGCGGTTGGAATTCAAAGCGATTCTTCCTCGCCTTTTTCGCTGGCTCGTCCTCTTCCTCCTCTTCGCGCCTGCAACCAGCCCGGGCCTGGGTCCCCGTTTCGTCACGTATGCGAATCATCATCGGCTTATGGACACCAACTGTCTATTCCCGGCCGGCTGATAAGTTACCTATAGAATAAAATATGTAACGCGTGTGTCGAGTCGAAATATAAATATGGAGCGAGCAAGACCAATTCGTACGAGCCTGTCAGCTGGAACGGTATTTGGTTCAGGCCTTCTAATACCACGCTCTCCTTCGTGGGAGTAACTGGACTAGCCTTTGGCAGTGCGGAGATTGGATCGTCGACTGTCGGACATGGTAGCCCGAGAATGTTGATGCTCTGAATGAAATTGGTGAAATTAAGAAGGATGTTTCTCAATATAAACACTTTTTCCGTCGCATAGGGATAGTGATACAATTTTAGTATGCAATTTTAGGTTATATAAACTAGCAGCAACGAAAGTCTAACCTCAAATTCGACAGAACCTACTTACCTAACTTAATCTTCTAATTTTATAATTCTAATTCTCACCTTACACGAATGAAATGAAATTGGTGACATTAAGAAGGTTGTTTCTCTAGACAGACCCTTTTTTCGATTGTTCATCGTCGACTCGAGCACGAATTATGACTAGATTGAGATATTATTAGGTTAATATGGTGTTTCTGAAAGTTATTGATTGAATAGGGATGGTGAATACAATTTTAGTTGATATAAGATAGAAAATCTAACCTCAAATTTGACAGAAGCCATCTACCTAACCTATAGTTCTAATTTTATAATTCTAATTCTCGCCTTACACGAATGAAATGAAATTGGTGAATTTAAAAGGTTGTTTCTCTACATATACTCTTTTTCCGATTATTCATCGTCCATTCGAGCTCAAATTACGGCTAAATTGCGATATTATTAGATTAAGTTCGTATTAGTTCATATAATTGATACAAACTAGAAAATCTAACGTCAAATTCGACAGAAGTCACCTACCTAACCTAAACTTCTAATTTTATAATCTTAATTCTCCCCTTACATACTTACTAATACCTCCAATGATACATTAAACTTTCAAGAACTTGCAAATTAACCTCAATCAATTTCTCTCGTTCTGCAATAAATTTCCAACGAATTCATGGGAAATAGATACTACCTGACACGAAGATCACGTATCTGAAAGTTGCAATACCGATGCGACTGCGTTCTACCTTAATTCGTGGAAGATCTAAACGGCTAATCAACCACTGCCGAAAATCTAACCTCAAAATCTGCAAAGAGACCACGTGACAATTGACGTAGCAAAGTGTCGGATTATTATAACAAGAAGCTAACAGAAGCGTGTCGTGCTTTTTCTAACGTTCACGGGAGAATTCCTTTTCACCGTTCGAAGTCAAGGTTACGTTTGCTATTGTTCCAGGTACTCATCAGGAACACGACGCAGAAGGAGCTGCAGACTATAGCGACGTACTACTTCGACGGTAAGGGAAAGGCGTTGCGGCCGATGGTAGCAATTCTCATGGCACGGGCTATCAATTACCACAAGCAAAGAAAGTGAGTTGTGAGAGGCACGGCTGTGCGGATTCTTTCAAGTTCGCCGTCAATAAACTTTTAACGTTTCGTGGCAATTAACTGGATTATTCTCCATTCGAAATGCTCTTCGTTGTCCCTGTTAACAGCCTCGCATAAACGGTTCGAGCGAATCCTGTTTAATTAATTCCGTCGAATGATTTACGCGTAGATCGCGAGCCAGGGTGGAAATTTAACGAGTGTCCTTGATTAAAATTCATGCTATTTATTGGGAGAGTATGATGTACGGAGAGTAATAATTATTTTCATGTACATACGTGTCGCCAGTAACTGCTGCATTATGCAGTCGATTTTTAGTACTCGAAGACGAAGCAATTTACGATGTTGCGTTTATGTGACAATTGAGGTTAGGAATGCATACGGAATCGAACGATTTTATTTGGTGAACGTATTGCTCTTTGAGTGCATTTCTAATGCATTTTCTACATTTATTTTCATATAGAAATTCGATATATATTTTAGGTGATTTATGGGGTGCTTAAACTTGGAAGAAAAATAGGTTAGGAAAATTATTAATTTATTTTTAATTGTATATTCGTCCTTGATGAATTTAATATTCGTTATTCAACTGCATTTTCTATATTGATTTCGATATATATTTTAGGTGGTTTATGGTGTGCTTAAATTTGGAAGAAAAATAGGTTAGGAAAATTATTAATTTATTTTTAATTGTATATTCGTCCTTGATAAATTTAATATTGGTTATTCAACTGCATTCTTTATATTTATTTCGATATAAAAACTCGATATATATTTTATGGTTTATGATGTGCTTAAATTTGAAAGAAAAATAGGTTAGAAAAATTATTAATTTATTTTTAATTCTGTATTCGTTGTTATATATTTTACTTCATAATGTGATCGTATAGTACACTGTTGGATAAGGGTAAGAAATTAATAACAGGGTTAATTAACTTCCTTAAAGAGCTATATAAGGAGATATAAAATGACATCCTATATCGGTTAAGTAATTTTATACCTCTTGACTAGGAGGTTCAAAAATTTTGATTTATCTCTTTGAAGATGTACCTGCAATATACCTCATTGTATTCAAATGATAAGGATCTAGCAGTCTGTATAGTGATTGAGCAATAAATAAACCTTTTCTTTCTCGCTTTTCTAACGTAAGAAGTTCTTAAAAGCAGCATTGAAATGTCACACGTTATTTGTCCTAGATCTTCCAAAAATCTTGATCTTTTCAACTGCGAAGACTCAAATAAGCGAAATACCTATAGGAGAAGAAATACAGAAAAGTCGTGAAAAAGAAGAATATTTTTCGCGATAGAACGACACGTTGCTGTATTACCATGTGATGCAAATGTATGTTAATGGAGGCGTGCTTTTTCATTTACCGATATGTGTTTGAGGCTTGAGAAAAGGTAGCTTCGCCGAACGTTTAGAAAGCATCGAAAGAATGCGACTGGCTGGTCTTCTCTCTTTCTAATTCATAAATCGCTTTGAAAGTAATTACTTGTCGTTGTGTGGCGAACCAACGCCGATGAATATGAATGAGATGTCCCGTGAATGAGAACTAGTGTAGCGTACGCTATCACATATGCCAGACGAATCGTAAACAGTGGCGAGCGTGACTTCGTGGTTCGTGGGGCGCCCGATGATAATCCCACGCGTGACGAAAACCTGCAGAATTTCCTGTCAACGGGTTGGTCGATTGCCGAGTGACTCCTGATGGCCGATCCTTTTATCCTTCGGTCGATCTTTCGATTTATTCTTCGATTGGTCCTTTGGTAGATCCTGCGATCGATCTTTCGATATGATCCTTCGGCTGGTCCTTCGATTAATCCTTCGACTGGTCCTTCGATTAATCCTTCCACTGGTCCTTCGATTAATCCTTCGACTGGTCCTTCGATTAATTCTTCGACTGGTCCTTCGATTAATCCTTCTATTAGTGCTTTTATCGGTGCTTGAATTGATTCTTTGGTTGTTCCTTCCATTGATTCTTGGATTGCTCTTTTGATTAGTCTTGCGATTGACTTTTCGATTGATCCTTCCATTGGTCCTTCGATTGATGCTTCCATTAATTCTTCGACTGGTCCTTCGATTGCACCATGGGTTGCTCCTTTAATTAGTATTGCGATTAACCTTTCGATTGATCTCTCGACTGGTGTTTCGATCGATCCTCCCATTGGTCCTTCGATTGTTCCTTCTATTAGTGCCTCGATTAATCCTTATATTGGCACTTTGATTGATTCTTCGATTGATCCTTCTATTAGTGCTTCGATTAATCCTTATATCGGCACTTCGATTGATTCTTCGATTGATCCTTCCATTAATTTTTCGACTGGTCCTTCAATTGCACCCATGGGTTGCTCCTTTAATTAGTATTGCGATTGACCTTTCGATTGATCCTTCGATTGGTGTTTCGATTAATCCTTCGATTGATCCTTCCATTGATTCGTCAACTGATCCTTCGATTGCTCCGTGGATTACTCCTTCCAATAATCTTACCATTGATCTTTCGATTGAACTTTTGGCTAGTACTTCGATTAATCTTTCCATCGGTGCTTCAATTGATCCATCGATTGGTCCTTTGATTAGTCCTACGATCAATCTTGCGATTAATAATTAATAATTCCGGTTGATCCTTCGATTAATTTTCTAATTAATCCTTGGACTAATTTCTCGATCTATTTTTCTATAAATTCTTCGACTAATTTTTTGCTTAATCATTCAATTAATCCTTTCGCTGATTTTTCAATAGATTCTTCGAACGATTCTTTGGTCAAACCTTCGATAAATTCTTCCATCCATTTTTATATCGATCTTTCGATCGATCGACGCATAAATAATATCCTGCCAACACTGAGGTATTCGTTGTAATGACTTTTATGTGACGTCTAGATCTGCAAGTTTAATGCAAGTTTAATGCCAATTTCTCCACGCATATACAACTTGCTATCCTTCAATCGATTCCTGATCGATTCGAGTGAAATCTACGCGTATTTGGAATGACGTAGTATTAAAATCATAATAACGTTTTCTTTTCGACATTTCCTAATCTTTCCTCTGTTCTCTTACTCGTCGAAAAGGAATAATTGTGTGACAGATATTGGACATACGTTGATCGATTCTTTGCTAGATCGGAGTCGCGAAAGTGCGATTATAAACGTGATGGATCTACGAGATGATTGGAGATCCATTTATACAGCTGTTCCACGCAACTGTGTCAAGCTGTGTCTTTAAAGTGCTTAAACTCTCGTGAAACTTGCTAGCCTGGGATTTTCTAAATTATTTCGTTACATGATTGAATTTCATGGAATATTTTCGCCATACAAGCTTTCGTACGATATTCCATTACACTCTAACCGCTTCATGCTCTCTTCAACATGCGCATAGGCAAACGCCTATAAATTAAACATATGAAACACGAGTGAAATTCCCCGGACAGGGAAACCGATGTCAAAATTGCCATAAAATTATCAGGAAATTGAACAGTAAACAACAATACAGTGTTAAATAACGAAACTATTTTCCAACGAATAAAATTCATGAATTCACCGTAATAATTGTAAACAAAAATAGAAACTAACGCTTGTACAATTATTATTTATTTATTTATTTTATTTACGGATATTAATCCTCATGTATACGATAAAAATATAGAGAGAAAAATATTATATGTATATATAATATCTTAAAAACTATAAACTATAAACTATTTAACAAAAGAACGAACGGTTGTAAATGATCTATGAGATCCTTTGGGACTCCTATTGACAAAGAATGGAAATTATTCCTTTTCGATCACGTTTAAGATCCCAAAATATTCCAGAACACTCGATCAATGTAGATCGTTTCGTTTCAGCGGTCTCTTGGCCTCGCAGCGGCAAGTAGCGATGATCTCCGAGATGATCCATAACGCTTCCTTGATCCACGACGACGTAATCGACCAGCCTGACTTCCGCCGTGGTAAACCTTCGGTCAATGTCGTTTGGAGTCAAAAAAAGGTAAGATCTTCGGACTCGACGAATTTTACATTCCATTCACTCATTAACGATTATCTTCATCGACTGATGAATCGCTAAACGATTCCTCTAAACCCACGTGCCTCGGTATGAATATAAAATACTTTCATACCAGATGTAAAGAGAGATACGATATCTTCGTCCAATTAAATTACATTAATTTATATTCATTTCATTTCCGAGTTACTTTACATTAATCATTTACATTAACTTAGCAATTAGCATTGAGCGAACTTAATATTAGTAACTTAATGCCTGAATCTTCTGATTTAAAATCTAATTTACATTGAATTATATTCCATGCACCATAGGTTTCGTTTGAACCGTTTCCACTAAATTTTATACACCTCCAATAAGGTTTAAAAATTGATCTGACAAATTTGCTGCTGGCATCATGTTTCCACTAAATTTTATACACCTCCAATAAGGTTTAAAAATTGATCTGACAAATTTGCTGCTGACATCACACGTTCTTCCTCTTCTTGGACGTTTCTACGTGTCATATTATTCCATTCAAAAATTGTAAATTGTAAATTTTATAGTAGATTGGAATTCAGGAAATTCTGGAGTCGAAGCAACGTTGAGTTACGTGTGATGTGTCCTTCGTGCTTTAAAAAATTGATCTGACAAATTTGCTGCTGGCATCGCACGTTCTTCCTCTTCTTGGACGTTTCTACGAGTCATATTATTCCATTCAAAAATTGTAAATTGTAAATTTTATAGTAGATTAGGATTCAGGAAATTCGTGGAGTCGAAGCAACGTTGAGATACGTGTGATGTGTCCTTCGTGCTTTAAAAAATTGATCTGACAAATTTGCTGCTGGCATCGCACGTTCTTCCTCTTCTTGTACGATTCCACGAAACGTCACTAGCCACAGAACACGGAGCTGTCGATTTCTATTCGATTGCTTGGACATCTCAGACACGTGGACGTTTCACACACGATGCACCGTGAATTTCGATATCTTCTCGTCGATCGATGCGAGTTGATCGATGAAAACTGAAACTCTCTCTGAAATAACGCAGAAAGAGAGAGGGAGATACGAGGTGGGAAAGAGGAAGGAGGCTAATGCGATTCATGGCGGCGCTGACCGTGCACGCTTTCTTGGCCTGGAACCGGAAGTGCCTTCGTTTGGTCTGCCCGCGATCCACGCTCGGCGAGATTTCCAAAAGGCGAATCGGCTATCAACTCGCATCGCTCTTTGGCAGAGAACGTGTAACACGATTAATCGTGGATTGGAAAGAGCGTGAGCCTAGCTCGAAAGCTGGTGGCTTTTCTCAATGAGAATTCTTGGTACCAGTGACTCGAACGTAACACACCTTTCCGAATAATCGAATTTCGTCTTCCTGGATGAGTTTTGTCTCGTTCTCTTAGCATAATTAGATGAATCGAATTTGGGATCAGAAATTATTTTCTTTTTAACACTAGAACTACCAACCCAGTGAAAATGACTGGTCCCAGAATTTTCCTTTTTGCAATCACAGAACACATACACCTGCTTTAAGAATAAAATTGGTATCAACTTATATTAAGAAAGAACTGTAATCAATATATTCACTCATATTCATCGTATCGCTGAAATTACTATAATCTGTGCACGTTATAGTTAGGTACCCATTAAAAATCGGTAATTCTACTGTTAATTGGAATTGTGAGATAAAATGGTGGAAACTCGATGTGATAGGAGTAGATAGCAATTTGGTGACACGAGAGCAGGTCAAATTTCAACTTAAGAAAAACAGAGGATTTGTCGACAGTCTTCTGTTAATCATGAAAGAAGTAATCGGTAATTTGCTCGTTTGTACGAAAACATTAACGATTACATATACGATTGACGATAACATTAACGGTGACAAATTTGTTTTCGTTTAATCTGCATAATAATTTATAATAAATAATAATAAAGGAAAATAATTAAGTGATAGCATTTCCATATATGGAAATATATTAGGAAATTTTGAAATAAAAAGAGGTACAAATTTTAGGCTGTATCTTTATCTATAGCTTTCTACTGGGTAACTTAATTCTACTGTATTTCAATTAATATAAATGAAAATAGAAATTTCTTTTATGATCAGATGTATATAATAAAATTAAATCATCTTTTCATTAATGATATATTATTCTATCTTATTTTCAATTTTCCAATTTGAACGAAATTCAAAATATTATTTTAAAAATATTAATAAACCAAGGAAAGAAAGAAATATCGAATTTTAATCGCGTGACAAAAATTTTTCTAACGAAATTCAAGGGAAAATTAAGTGATTCCATAGATTTTTTGTCACGATTATTTTTAAATGCTTGGAAAGACATTTCTTAAAAGATCAAAAGATTTCCTAAAAAGGAATAAAATGTATTACGAAGATATGATGTAAAAGATATGAAGAAAACATTAATTTTCGATATCCCGTTAAATTATGACGTTTCCTTTACGAAATCAGAGCAGTTTCGTAGTTTCAGCGAAACTCGATGTTTTAAAATTTCCAGGTATTACAGATATTTCGTGTAGTTGTAATATCCAGATAATTATGCGTTCTTGCAACACGTATAGACATATACAGACGTGCATATGAACAGAGAAAGGATACAGATTGTTGGGAAGTTGGTCACGAATTATCATTTAGTGGAAAGCCTATAAATTTCAGTAACTTCTTATGTAATTTGAAATATTTGGTGTTGAAACACTTTGATTGGCAACATTGACTGAATTCAATATAATCGCGATAATGATCATTAACTGGAGAATTGTGATACCCTGTTTGGGTGAAACCTTGCAGACTTACCACGTATATAATTAGATACTGCTTTGTTTCATGTGTATTTACATTCTCAAATATTATTTTAACCAATTAGTTTACTTTTCACAAATTAACTTTAATAATAATTGACTAGAAGTTAAGATTACTTGAATTACTAGAATTAAAATCAGAAGCTATATTTAGAGCTATGCAAAGGTGAAATGTAATGATAAGAGATAGATTACTTGTATTGAATATTAAGGTACAGAATACACAGCATAGCACTAAATATAGTATATATATGGATAATAATAATCAATGACATATGATGAGAATATATAGGTATATATAATCATCTACCTGACTAAAAGTCAGTATTAATTTTACCAAAGGTAATTGTACATTTCCAGTAAAGTTAAGAAGGAAAAATCTGAAACCTGTCACTTAGGATAGTTAGTAGGTACTTTCTAGGTACTTCTAGTGTTAATATTCTAAATCTGAAAGAGGTGAAATATGAGTACATTATTCAAGCTATTCATCACTATCATAAGAACAGGTGTTATATCATAACATTTCATTACCTGTTACATAAATGCAATTGGACATGGTACAGGTAGAGGATGAAAACGATGGTGTTCATCTGTATTCACATCTTAGCATCGAGTCTTCTGTTCGCTTTAAATGCGAAATTAAAGAATCTCGATGGCATTTTTATTACGTTAAAATCATAATTCTGATTACCTGTTTGTTTCTGAAAACAAATGCCACAGCCGAAGATTGTTACGACATATTGGCCATTATTCTAATAAAGCTTATATTCCTTATTCTTCGAGAATTACGTCATTTATGAGATATGAAGGTCATCTTTACTTTTTTACAATGCATGACATATTTTCTCTTGGTCGCGTGATAAAAGAAGCATTCAGTAACCTATGAATACCAAGTGGTTCAAGATCTCTTCTAGTGGTACAAAAGATGAAAAAGACATTTCCAACCTTAGTATTAAATTAACCTTTATAATTTCATGTAATGTAGACGGTTCTTTATTTCTTGTTAGAATAATCAGGCTGTTTGTGATACTCCATAGTCCTATTCCATTATTCTCAGCTATATCTTACTTGCAGTACATTTGTATTTCATGTTAATGGTGTTTAAACTAAAATTTCAAAAAATGGGCAATTAATTTGTGTTTTATAAGTAGGTTGTAGATGCTTGTGTATATTTTATCTCGTCCATGCAAGCTTTTACTTATATGCTATTTATGTTGTGCATTTTATTTCTTAATGACATAAGGAAATCGAGATAGAGTGATACGGAAATGAAATAAGATTTTAATGGGAATTTCCAGTTTCAATACTATTCCACGAATCGGTGAAATTTTTCAACGTAAAGTCATCGAGAATCCGACATAAGATAAATAGCACCTTCAAAGCAAATTTAAATATATTTTCACCGCGTTATACGATAGCGAATTATATATTACTTTAAAGAGATAGAACGTATCAGTTACCTGAAATTAGCATGGAGAAAGATACTTATACTTTACTTCAATTTTATTATGCTTTAGACACTTATTGCATATCCCACGCTCTTGCTATATGTCCACATTTTTATGCCTGGATTCGCACGTTTATATAGATATTATATTCATGTCTGATATACTTTGTATTTCCATATATCATATATTTTATCTCCATATTTTAACACGTTCGAAATATGCAAACGTTCACAGTGTAATTACAGCAAAAAAGGTAAACGTACACTTAAGTTTCATTTCTTATATACCATAACACATCTCCACCGATGTCCGCAAGATCACAGCGCCACATTCATACTAGCGGTCGTTGGCTCGAACTACTTTGGCATGCTTGAGTTCCTATCTCGAAACTATAAGCGATCATTCCGACACGTCAAACATAAAATCGCATTCACCGCATTGTAAACACATGTGCTCGGCACAACATGTGATTCCTCGGGAGGTTTGAAAAGTGTGACGGCCTTGAGGAACGAATTAACGAGTTACAAAGAAATGGAAAGCCGACAAGACGTCCACGAAAGTCTCTCGTCGAAGATTGGACGGAGCACTGGGCTAACGAATTGTGTAACATTGGCGCATTAACGAGACACTAATTGAGAGAGGTGTTGCGTATGTGTGTATATATAACAGTTATCGCCAGATTATACACGGATAACGAGGCCGTGAACGAGCTGAGATGCAACCTCGAATTCTATATCGTGTAGCTATTAACATTCGAAAAACATTTCTGCTGGGTAACTACCCTTGTGTTGTTTATCCATCGATTGCTCTTAAGAGCAAACCCTGAGACTATGATCTCCTCTTCGTTACGAGTAAACCGTATATACCGTCGGCATTTTTAATAATTCTCCATCTTGAAAAATTAAAAATAAAGTTGAATTAAATTTCAATAAATTTGAATAAAGTTCTAGTTAAATTTTATAACAGATGTAAACCAATTTTACTGAATCTTATTTTTCTAATGAGTACTATCGAGTATTTTATAGTTACACAATTTTTCTAATTGATTCTGAAGATGGTATAACGTTCATTTTTATTTTTATTCGAGATTAGCTCTAATGATATTAGCAACAAGAGAAATATTTCTAAAAATTCCGCAGAAGAAAATAAGAAATTGGATTATCGTATCTAACATGGCGATGGAAACACTTACTTTCTGATTTCCTCAATTTTCAGTAATTATCTTCAAATATCGCGCTCAATCCACGCGTTACTATACACGGTTCGTTAACTTTACATTAGTGCAAATGTTCCTTTCCTTCCGAAAGGATACACCAATCGTATACTCGTATTAATTCCTTCAGCGTTGCGAGATTATTCAGTGACGATAACGGAACTCTAGCAGCTCAGTACCCAATCCTTGATCCTTATTCGACTTCTTTCCGTCGAATGCACAGGAATTTCGATCCGTATTATCGATCGCAAATTATTTCCCAAACCTAACCTCAAACGTATCAGGCTTTTCGCCGGGGCTGCACCCTGTTGCCCGACGCGCTGATTCACGTTCGCTTTGCGAAACTCTCAGTGTGTCGCAACGATTGGCTATATCTCAATAAAGCCGCGAAAACACGATGTTTTCGAAAGGAAAGCCCACGGGTAACGTCGTTGCAGGTGACACACGTGAAAAGCAGACGACACGGAGATACCGGATGTGAAACTCGAAATTACGACGCGTTCGTCTCGTACCATTGTCACAAGAGACAACGGGCCGACGTGGTTCTTGGATCTGACGAATTAACCGGCACTTCCACTTGGTCTTATGTAGCTTGAATTTTCTTCTTTGTACCTGCCAGTGATTATGGAAATAGCTTAAGTAATACTTAGGGGCTTAAATCATGTTTCGTTTCGAAATGTTTCAAGTTATTATTTAAAGCGCGTCTGCGTAAATTAAAAAATTAATTACAACGTAATTGCAATCCTACTGCAACTGTTTCGTTTCACTTACCTTTTACTATTTCACATTAGTAATAAATTCGTTCCTGGTGAAATTTTTGCTTCAATCATTTTCTTCATTACCGACATATGTACGAGGTATTACATATCACCAGTTGTACATTGCTACTAGAAATATTCTCTATTAAATGTCTTCTAGTCTATATTGGTTTGATGGAAAAACAGAATGTAGAAGACGAATTACACATGTAACCTAATAAGTACGTGTGTACTTAAGTTTAACCTTTCTTCAATTTGCGCATGATTCCAGAAGATGAAAGGGATGTTATTGCAAGGAAGTGTTGATATTCAGGTCCAATGATCATCTGTGCATTCTGGAATGAATGAAAAATAATTATTTTAAGGTTGGCGATTTTTAAAAATTTCTGTAGTACGGTCGAATTAGATTGTTTTTGAGTTGGAAATTTCACTGAAAGAGGCTTCTTTTCGAACTTTTCCAGTGACTGAGAAAGATAGTGTAGTGAAAGTGTTGGAATGGTTTACGACGACGGTGGTATTGTAAAGTAAAATTGTTAAATGTTTGGAAATGTGGAAAGCTCTGACAGCTTATTTGAAAGAGTATTTCTTTAGAAAAAAGAATTTTTAAGAATATTTACAAATGATTATTAGTTTCAAGTATACAAATATATGTAGACTAATACTAATAGCTAAAGTAGAGGTAGAATTACTGAAAAGAAATTGAATAATTGTATTTTCTACATCTGTACATAGATAGCGTACTTTCTAGAACATAATTCTCCATGAGTGAAATATGCCAAATTTACATTCCTTTGTTAGTTCCAATACCCATTATTTATGCTGGGAAATTTTGCATATTGTACGTATCTTCTGAAGGGAAATATTTACAGTACAAGATAGGCAAAAACGTTGAATGAAATTCGATTATTCGAATATTCGAATATTTTAAATAATTTATCACAAATAAATTTTAACAAAACTTTATATTTTTCGAAATATTTCAAGTATTTAAAATGACGTAAACGTGGAGAATTTTACGACACGTATAATTACCTCAAAAGTATTAATATTTTTCATATTTCAGGAAAGTTTAAAAAATTATTGAATTTCCGAAATCTCGTTGCCATTAATGAAAATTCAATTCCAACTAAATAAAATTTTTCTTCCGTCCCTCCGTATCTTAAATTGCTAATTTATCTATTGTGGATAATTAATTATTAATAATTAATTAAAAAGTGACGTAAATATGTGTTAAAAAATAATTATGAAAATCGTGTAAATGTTCCACACGTTTCTACTTACTGTACACTCACAATAGATGTCAGTCAATAATACGAATCGAAATGGTCAAATTTTCTCTCTTTGTATTTCATCCTTTTACCTTGAAGTTTCGCAAGTAAGGAAGAGAACAAGAAAGAAGCTCATTGATTATGCCGGAACCAAGTATTCTAGGAGTATATGTCCGAATATACGATGTCGTATATCAAATATTCAACACGTGTCATATTACTTCGGCGAAGCTTTAACCCTAAACAGAATTGAGCAGTGAAGGCCACGAGAAATGTCGTCAAATATTAACTTAACAATTACAATCATGGTGATTGAAAATTTCTCATGGATACTCAGTCGATGCATATTACAAATTACGTATGTACTTTGAATAAAATTCATTACGAGTATTTTATGAAAAATATTATATTTCGAGTATTTTACACTTTGAGATAGAAATATGGTTCAATTTTTCATGCACTTCGTCCTAAAATAAATTTGCAACTTTGTACACAAACAGTATCATAACCTCTAAATCTGAATTCATTTCCTAACCAAAATAAATGCATTAATTATTAGGCAGGAATAAATCATACATCATGAAATATTATTGAGAAACAATATTTCATTCACACGGTAGTCTACCTCATATTTTATTCTGAAATGACATGTTCATTTGAAAAGAAAGTTGTCATATTGTAAAAATATTTCAATGTCTTTTAGTACTTACCATTGACTACTTTGAATTGCTTGTATATCGTCGGTATGTTCGTATCAATTCTACCACTGCACAATAACTAACAAGTAAAAGGATAAAAATTGTCTATTGACTGGCAAGAATTCGTAGAATTCTACTGTCATTGTTAATCAGACGTTAAATGAATAGTTCAACGCGTTCGGAATATGAGATAGTGACACCTAGAAATCATAGAATAGTGTCTACTGATGTTAAAAGCCATTAAGAAAACGTGGTTTCAGTGTGATGTAGCCCGCATGCGACTTATTGGCGACATGGGCGATTTCCTTTGCCAGTTTTACCACCAGAATAACCGCAAAACGTGTACATCGAAATTGAACGTATATTAGTCGAGATGTCGCCAACGATCTATTCTACCGTTCGATGATTTAACACGTGCATTGGCGATTCTAACCTTTATTTGCATTGCAGCGACTTTCTAGCAGCGCGGAATAGGAAAATAGCCTACAAGAAATTTTACCTCAATTTAATTGTAGTAGGAAAGTATGTGAAGGAGATTAAATTGATTTTTAATTTAAGTCAAGACGTTTCTAATCGTTATGGATTTAACGTGTTCTACATATGAAATTAAGAATTGTAGCATTTACTTTTGAAACAGTACTCGAACTTTTTTCGTCTTGCTGCTTATATTTTTAGAGCAGTAAATCAAAAAACTTTCCTCGTTTTTAGCCTAATTAACGTGCTAAATGAATATTTAGATTTTCAAAAAGAAATTAAGATTGAATAATTATTATCTTTATTTTTAAAGCATAGAATCGAAAAATTTATATTTAGCTTGTCTAATTAAGGTATTACCTTCAGTAGTTAAATGTTGCGAATAAAAATTTAGACTTCCAAGGTAATCGAAGTTGAATTATATTTATCATTAGAGTAATGAATCAAACATACTTTTTTTTGCTTAATTCTTCTGCTATCAAAGGTTAGCAATACGAATTTAGATAGATAAAATAATGAAATTTTAATTCTTCAGTTTTCGAACCAAAATAATTATATCTAATAAACGTTTCCTGAAGTAATTCTGCTACTTTTTCTGAATTCATAGGTTATAATGAAAATTACCATCTGCCGCGTTTGAAATGTTTTTCACTACATTCGTCCATTTTACGCTTTCTGTGTACGCTTTTACCTTAATCGTGGGCCAAACTGTGTCCGTGCGTAAGACGAATAAAAGAAAGTAGCCTCATCTTGCATTGCAAACCAGCCTCGACTATCGAGTAGAACATCGAGTTCTTCGACTAAAGTCAAACTGGTGCAAGGATTTTTATCATATTAAGATAATTAACGTACAAACACAGATCGATCCGCGGATATTGTTTTGCCGTGCTATTTAAAGAAAAAAGAAAGAGGAGAGGGGAATTATTACGAAGGCAAACACACGTGTCATCCTTCGATATCAGACGTTCGCCCGATCCAACTTCTCTGCTTCTGTTTCGAAAGATGTTCAGTGAAAGGAAACGCGTTCCTTAATCGTGCATGGCCATTTTATCGTTCTTAACTTTTACAATATACGAAATACGTTTATGATTTATTGTTAATGATGAAATGGAAGTTAACCTTCCTGCTGTATTCTTTAGAATGAAAGTCTTATTACGTAGCATTTTTCTAGGAAGTTTCTAGTTAGGAGTTTTATAAATATTATTAATGAACCTAAAACATGTTTTTACAAAATTTTAACTTTTTAAATTGTAGTGTATTACTGTGATAAATTGACTCCATTAAGCAACTACGCTTACCCTTTTTAGTAATTACCTGTGATGCAGGCAAAATGTCAGTGTTACTTTCTATGGGAAGAATCAGGTCATTTATGCCTCATCAACATTTTCTTTCTTTTCAGTTACTTTTAAATAAACTTCTTTAATTCATTTGCATTTTTATTCTTTTTAAAATTCGCTTTCTAATTTTCAGGTAACAATGACGGGAGATTATATTCTGGCAGTCGCGTCCATTATGATAGCCCAGCTTCGAAATGACGATGTCACCCTCACTCTCAGTCAGGTAAAGTTCATGAAACATATTATGTAATAAGTATATTTTAATATAGAATATCTGATAGAAATAGATAAATAAGTAGCTTACAGTGAATAAAATTGTTTAGTGTCTATAAAATAATAAGTTGCATATTAATATTTATAATTGACACACAAGAGTGTGCACGTGCTCTAGGATCGTGATATAATCCTGATGATAAGTATTGACAAGTCCAGGTGCTTTCCAGGTCGTGACGGACCTGGTGCAGGGTGAATTTATGCAGCTTGGCTCTAAAGAGACGGAGAACGAGAGATTCGCGCATTACCTCACGAAAACGTATCGCAAAACAGCCAGTTTAATCGCCAATTCCTTGAAAGCGGTAAATATGATCAGTGATAGTCATGTTTTTTAATTTAATTTTATACTTACTCCTCATTAATGAACATATTTCTGCAGGTGACCATGTTGGCAGGTGCTGATGATCAGTTGGCCGAATTAGCTTTTCAATATGGTAGAAATGTCGGTTTAGCATTTCAATTAGTCGACGATCTTTTGGATTTCGTGTCTTCTTTACCAACAATGGGTAAACCTACTGCGGCAGATTTGAAACTAGGTCTTGCAACTGCTCCAGTACTCTTTGCTTGTGAACGAGTGAGTGAATATATTAATTAAAAAAGAAATCTATAATTTACACAAAGAAATAATTTATAGAATAGAATGTCTTAATTGTAGATGTTTTAATTATGGTAAAAATCTTACAAAGGTCGTTCTTCCATTTTTATTGCAGTATCCAGAATTGAACGCGATGATCATGCGTCGATTTCAAGAGCCAGGAGACGTCGAAAAAGCGTTCGAGCTAGTACATAAATCACAAGGTCTCGATCAAACAAGATTTTTAGCACGAAAGCACTGCATCGAAGCAATGAAACTTGCACAATCTTTAGCCGAAAGTCCGTACCAGAAAGGTCTGCAAGTAGTTTGCGATTTAGTATTGAATCGTATGAAGTAGTGATATGAGAAGTCACAATAAGAACTGTGTATGAAAACAACAACGACGACAGAGAACGTCTTGAAACGAAAACTAGTAGTCACGAAGAATGAATGTTGGCCACGAGAAACGCCAATTAATGCAATTGCAGCAAACGAAACAAAATGTGCCGTTGATACGACAAGATTGTACTGGTTGTAAAGAAAAAATATCGAAGAAATGCAAACGTGTCGCGACATGTATCTAAATACACTCGTGACAAATATGTTTGACCAATTTAATGATACTTACAGCTCTATATTTAAACTTGTATGTTTATAACATAAAAGTTTAATTATATAGTTGTGATATTGTCAATAACATGGTAATTTTATGGGGAAAAAAAAGGAAAGAAATCGGAAAATAGGCGGGTTACTATTTTTATAAATTTCACACGTAACATAACAAAAGATATATCATGTTAATTGTCAATATTCAAATATGAGCGATATTGTCACGATGTTTCTCTATTCGAGTTCAAACGTTACCGAATACAGTGTAATTACAAGCGAGAAATCACTCACTAAACGAACGATAACGTTTACTTCGCTCTATAGTGCACATATTACCTGATTTTATCGATATTGTCACTAGCCAATCATAAGTGTAAATAAAATGATTTGTAGAAGTAGTTATAACGTATTAGAATTGGTGACTCTGCTTGATTGTTCTTTTATTAGAATCTTTTTGTAGTGTTATGAAATCCACCCAATGAATAACGAGCAATATGAAAAACTTTCCATGACAGTATTATACCAAATTATCTTAATAAGAAATATCACAACTGATTGTTGTGAAAGAAGAGATTGATATAATCGTGAAATTTATGTATATTTCTTTTTTTTTTTCTTTTTTTTCTTGGAAACATAATCAGATATTACAATTCATGTTACCATTATGTAGCAAACGAATTTATTAAATATGTTAATGCCACTTAACAACATGAAAAACAACAATCGCAAGAGTACCAATACTAATTAACAGCATAATTTAATATCTCGTTTAAAATGTGCGAAGAATATCTGCCAAAGAAGACCATGTGGTCTTGATTCTTCGACTTATATAGAAAAAGTATTTTCGGCCTGTTGCACATAATATAAATTGTTTATTATTAATTGGCATTATAAATCATTGAAATTATTAGATTTTTATACTTTCGTCAAATTATTCATATTGTTTTTTATTTAAAAAAATGTTCAATAAAAGTGGAATAACATCTTCCATAAAAACCGCTCAAAATATTATTTACTACATAACTGAACATATAGGTATAAATGTATAATAACTTATATTTATAACATGAATTAATGTATATAATTGCTCTTTAAGATAACACAAATCACTTCTGTAAAATTATTAATAAAACAAATGCAAAAATGTAATTATGATCAAATGTAGATATATATTAGGATAAAGACATTCAACTGGTATAAAGAATAGAAATAAATGAAGCTCTCGATCTCTTGGACATACGAAAAAGCAATATTTTTACCTTTTTTAGTTTATGCATTTTGAGTCTGAAAGTAGTATTATTATAAATTCGAACCAAAAATTATTTCACATTTGATTAGTAACCACAATGTTTGAAACAATAAATTAATTTATTATTTCATAATAAATTCGGGTATTTTTAACAATTATTTTGTAGATATTCATGATGTACAAGTGCACCCATAATATCTTTGCATATGAAACACGTGTAAATACATGTTTATACCAGAACAAACTTATAGAGTGTAATATTGAGAACAAATATTTTTTAGATCGATTAGCTTCATTATTAATAAATTGTGAAGTGTTAGGTTTGTTATTTTATTTGTTGTACAGGGAAGTACTAAATCCATGTTATAACATCCTTTTAATATAAATGTTATATCAAGATTTAAAATAGACCTTATTTCCTTTAAAGTAATTATACCTTTATATAATATTGAATCTAAAAATATATGACAAAACTTTGGTGTCATTTAATATCATTTTATAACATATGAGCTTAAAATTTTCATATATTTTAAATTCTTAATTTTAGGAATAATTTAAACTATATTGAATTTTTATTTAAAAAAATGTCATTATGAATATTACATTAATGAATTTAGATCAGATTAATTTTTAATTCAATTATAAATAAATTTATAAATAACACGATTCTTTGTTATATTAATATAATTATAAAATATTGCCAGAAAATATAAAGTAAACATACCATACATGTTTCTTTTTTTTTTATTCCAACGAATTGTAAGAATAAGAATACTGTAACTTTATTAGTGCAAAGATTTTACATTACTGAAACTAATATTAAACTATTGTCAATGTTGAAATTTGTATGGGTATACCTACAATGATGAAGGCATAAGTAAATTAAAAAATTCATGGAAATCACCGTATTCTTGATTACTGTTAATATTTCTATATCTCAACATGTTGATCAAATCAAAAATCTTTAATTTTGTAATAATATATGTATAAAATGTTATGCAAATATACCTAAATTTCTTAAATATAAATTGATAATTGTTTCCCTAC